AAAAAAGCGTCTGACTTCGACTCAGGTCATGATCTCACAGTTCGTGGGTTGAGCGTCGTGTCGGGCTCTGAGCTGACAGCTCAGAGCCTGGAGCCTGCTTCGGATTCTCAGTCTCCCTCTTTCTGCCCCTCCCTTGCTCGTGTTCTCTCTCTCTCTCTCTCTCAAAAATAAACATTAAAAAGGAAAACACTGAATTTTGCATTTTGAATGGATGAATTCCATCATGTGCAAATTATATCTCAATAAAATTGTTAAAATTGTTTAAAAGAAATGATACTTTTAAAAAGACCATTGGTTTATGTCTCTTTTTCTGAAGCTGATTCCCTTGGGACGCAGGTATCCAGGCTGAAAACCGGATTTTATGAGCTGAGGAAGATGACAATGTGAAAAATGGCGATTTTCCCTTAGGCAGAGACCGGATTTGCAGATCCTTTTCTACCCACAATGCTTGTGCCTGCAGCTGCTTTGAACTTTGCTGAAAAGATTTTTCTTAGCTTGAAATCATTAAAATATGTTTAAACGGCACTGAAGTGGCTTTATTGTTTTATCTATTCCTTTCCCTCCTTTTAAGTAATAGCACCCCAATATCCTCTTAAGGAACCACCCACCTCGTTTTCAGTTCATGTGGTTTGAATATTGCTGACCCTACGCCTTAGGCTCTATGAGTCAGGCCTGACCAATCAGCACATTTCATCCAGTGGTGTGTCAGAGCTGGCTCATCCCAGCTTATTCGAACCAACTGGTAAATTTTTAGGAACTTTGTGAGCCAGTTGCTAAATATGATCACTATTAAAATTTTAAGTACATAAACTTATAATTAAATACATTATACTTAAAATGGAGTTATTAGGCACTCAAAACTCATCGCCTCCTAATTATTTGAATACATTCTACTATTACCTGTTCTCCTGAGGTTACTTACATCTATCAGATCTGCATGATTTAAGTGCACCCCTGTGTGTCTCTTTTCAACCCCATGTTCAGTGACTTCCTGTCAGCAGCTTGGCCTTGGCCATGGGCAGTGTTTATACATCACAACTATGTAAATGCTGCATATCAGGGCTTCTTCTTTCCTGTCAAGGAGAGTGTCAATCATCTGCCAGCTGTAGTGGCTTAAATAATGCCCCCCCCCAAAAAAAAGATGTTTGTGTCCAAATCGGGGTAGTTGTGAATATAACTTTGTTTGGGAAAGGGATCTTTGCAACTGTGTTTAAGAGAAGCGTCTTGAGCTGACAGCATCCTGGATTATCCCAGGATCTCTAAATACAATCACACGTGTCCTTATAAGAAGAGGCAGGGGAGTTCGACACACACACAGATAATACAAGGAGGCGATGAGACCAGAGAGATTGACTGAAGGAGTGGAGCCATAAACCAAGGGATGCCTGCAGCTGCTAGAATCTGGAAGAGGCATGAAACAGAATCTCCCCTGGAACCTCTAGAGGGAGCACAGCCTCGCTGACACCTTGACTTTGGAGGGTTTAGCCTCCAGAAATATGCACGAATAAATTTCTGTTTTGAAGCCACCCAGTTTGTGATAATTTGTGATGGCAGCCACAGAAAACTAGCCTACTGGCACCCACTGGGGTACTATCGTACGACCCGGGATGGGCATGTTACCCCAGTTAGGACAATGAGAGGTCAGCTCCGTGAAAGAAACCATCTCCTTCTACTAGGGGTTGCCAAATGGTGCCATTTTTGCCACCATATTTGCCTAAGAATGAAAACAGCACAGAAAGTTGTCAAGTAGACATCTGGAGAGAGAGAGAGAGAGATCCCAGAACAATGTTGTTTGAGAAGCTGGACCTAGTCTACTAGTGGAATTCTCTATTGCACGAACGCATTAATTTCTTTTCTTTTTAAACCAAGTTCCTGACCGATATACACATGTGAATTTTAGGGAACATTTGAAAGTGTTCTTTTGCACGGACAGGGTTGTAAATACACACGGTTGCTATCATTTGATCAGTTATTACTGAAATCAGGCATAACTAACAAAGACAATCAGGGAAACATGACAAACAGTGAACAATCTGAGATCTACCTGAATTCGATCGTGTTCATTTGTTCCACAAACACTTACTGAGCCCAACCATGTTTAAAGTGTTCTACTCATGGGGCGCCTGGGTGGCGCAGTCGGTTAAGCATCCGACTTCAGCCAGGTCACGATCTCGCGGTCCGTGAGTTCGAGCCCCGCGTCAGGCTCTGGGCTGATGGCTCAGAGCCTGGAGCCTGTTTCCGATTCTGTGTCTCCCTCTCTCTCTGCCCCTCCCCCGTTCATGCTCTGTCTCTCTCTATCCCAAAAATAAATAAACGTTGAAAAAAATAAAATAAAATAAAGTGTTCTACTCAGGGCACATATCCATACATTTAACAACTTACAACTTATTTGCCAGTAAGGAGTTTAGGACAGCTCACATTACTGAGGTCACCAGCAGTATTAACTTTTCATGACATAGCCCATATTTTTCTGGACAGTACTAAATTCATATAATTTCCTTATTTTTCCTAAAGAGAATTTGTTTAACGTACAATGAAAATATTCTAACTTCTTTACGAGATTCCATTTAAGTACATTCACAAATCATAAAAAAAAAAAAAAAAAACCTTTTGGCAAATTGAATATTTTAAGTTGGGAATTATTCTTCTGGTGATTTTCAATGACACTGTGCCTTTGCTAATTTTGTACTTCTCCAGAATTTTTATTCTCCATTATCTTAGTAATTTGTTAGCATGGATAGGCACATTTCTGAACGGAGGGTGTCACAGGAAATCCCAGAGATAGACATACTGTATTGAATATTTTTAAAATAAAAGGAAAATCTTTTTACACCCAGAATGTCTACCTTTATTTTTTTTAGTTCAGGAGATTTAAAATTAATTCTGCCCCCATAATTCTATTTTTTTCTCATACCTTTCAAATAGCTTTTTTTTTTTTTTTTTTTATGAGCACATTCTTCATGTTGGATGAATTCCCAGCCAACTTTTTAAATCTAATTAAACTCACCTAAGTTTAACTCAGATAGCATTTGCGGTTAATTTCTTAATGGTTGATAAACTGGAAACCCATCTTTGGGACTTATTAAAAAAAAAAAAAAAGAGGTTCCTGAAGGTTGCTTATTGCTAAAAGAGCCCGTTGCTAATAATGATGTCACAAACATCAATAAACTAATGCCCATTTGTCTGGACTTAAAATAGAATAAACTTTCAAATGCAAATATCCAGGGGCACCTGGGTGGCTCAGACTTCAGACTTCAGCTCAGTTCATGATCTCACAGTTTGTGGGTTGGAGCCCCATGTTGGGCTCAGTGCTGACAGCTCGGAGCCTGAAGACTACTTTGTATTCTATGTCTCCCTCTTTCTTTGCCCCTCCCCAGCTCACGCTGTCTCTCTCTCTCTCTCTCTCTCTCTCTCTCTCTCTTTCTCTCTCTCAAAAATAAGCAAACATTAAAAAAATGCAAATATCCAAATATTATATTATTCTTTTACACTTTATATTTGCTTATAGCTTTGCTTATCAAAGAAAGAATTGTTCTGAGTATTTTCAAGGCAAAAGTAACAACAACAACAACAACAAACAAACAAATCCATAAACAAACACATAAGGAACAAGCAAGCAAACACACACACAAGCACACACACGTGAGGCATAGGGAATAAGAGATTTCACTAGGACATACAGCAGACATTAATGAAGCAACAATAATTCAAGTCTACTCTCCTTCCAGTCTGGAACAATCCTGTTTGCTATGAAAAAGTAGCCACCAAAATCTTTTGGGAGATTAGCATCATTATCAATACGGATTTCAAGGAAAACGTGAACAACATAAAAACTTAGCTTTCAGATTCCCCATTTTTATAGCCGCATAAAACCTAAAATAAAAATTGGGAGCACACCCAGTTTATCAAAGAAAGGTCAACAACAGACTCAAAATAAAAGTTTAGGAAGTCACTTTCTATTAACAAAAGCAGCTTTTAAATATTACTTTTTCTTGATAATTCTAGCTGAGAAACACCCAAGCAAGTTAGCTTTTATCCCTAAGGCCAAAAAGAAACTCACCACCAAAGTGGAAATACAAGGCACCGGAAAAAATCAGTGATTTGTTCCCTGATGGCAACTTTATGCCAGAGACACAAGAGTTTCTTTACACGAACTTGTTTTCTTCATGTGGAAAACACTGATAGAAATCTAGGTGAATGGATATAATTAAGTAGTTGTGTGGCTCCAACTCTAAAATGCTTTTTTTTTTTTTTTCTTTCCATCAAACACCTCAGCGTTTGCCCAGTAACGAGACGAGAGGAACAGCCTTCTAAGAGTGAAGCCCTCAAGACGTTTCCAAGCTGCCTGGACAAAGGCTTGGAATGACTACAATAGTGAACCATCCTGCCTTGGACCTGAATCTAGATCGATGACCTAATACGTCTTTTCCAACTCTGACTGCCACAGTTTTATGAGCATCAAGGACTGGGCGTCTGCCATTGTCAACAAGTAAGGCCTCTCCAGAGCTTGAACATCCACAGAAACTCAAGTACCCCCCTCCCCCCCGAAGAGCACAGATCGCCCAGTCTCCCAGGGCTCTGCGTGCTACCTCTAGCTTTCACGTGTGACACAGAAACTCCTCTTTGGCAGGATTCATTCTTTTTTTTTTTTTTAAGTTTTTTTTTCAACGTTTATTTATTTTTGGGACAGAGAGAGACAGAGCACGAACGGGAGAGGGGCAGAGAGAGAGGGAGACTCAGAATCGGAAACAGGCTCCAGGCTCTGAGCCATCAGCCCAGAGCCTGACGCGGGGCTCGAACTCACGGACCGCGAGATCGTGACCTGGCTGAAGTCGGACACTTAACCGACTGCGCCACCCAGGCGCCCCAAGGATTCATTCTTAAATAAAGAAAGTGTGTCCGTTACTCTCCCCTGTTATCTTGGTTTAAGAACTCTGAGTCAGAGCAGATCTCTGAGAAACTAATTAAGCTTAGCTTAAGGGCCTCTCTTTTTCAGGGGCCCTTCCAAAGGGCTGTACCTAATTTTGTATTTGTAATTTTGCATTCTTTTTAAAGTTATTTCTTTATTTACTTTTGAGGGAGAGCACAAGTGGGGGAGGGGCAGAGAGAGAGAGAGAGAGAGAATCCCAAGCAGGTTCCGCGATGCCAGTGCAGGCCTGGACTTGGGGCTGGAACCCACCAACCTCGAGATCAGGACCTGAGCGGAAGTCAGAGGCTTAACCAACTGCGCCACTCAGGCACCCAGGTCACTTTGCATTCTTTTTTCAACTTTTTTTTTTTTTTTTTTTTTTGGGACAGAGAGAGACAGAGCATGAACGGGGGAGGGGCAGAGAGAGAGGGAGACACAGAATCGGAAACAGGCTCCAGGCTCCGAGCCATCAGCCCAGAGCCTGACGCGGGGCTCGAACTCCTGGACCGCGAGATCTTGACCTGGCTGAAGTCGGACGCTTAACCGACTGTGCCACCCAGGCGCCCCACTTTGCATTCTTTTTAATAAAAAGTCCCCTTCGTGGTATAAACTATAGCCCTCCCCCCCCATCCCAGGCGATAGGGATCGACCCTTGAGCTAGGTAAATTGCACCAAATCTTAGTTTGACAAAAGTGTAAAAATTAAACACAAACTCCCCTTCACGTTTTATGATGTCCCCCCCCCCCACCCCACCCCTCTGGCAAGTCATGGTTAAAGAGGAAACCTCTTGGAGTCTCCGGTCCTCAGCTGTCCTCTCAGCCACAGCTTTGGCTCAAAAACTGGCTGCGTTTTAAATTTATGCTCCTTAGCTCCTCATTAAAAGAACACGCCAGGGGCGCCTGGGTGGCGCAGTCGGTTAAGCGTCCGACTTCAGCCAGGTCACGACCTCGCGGTCCGTGAGTTCGAGCCCCGTGTCGGGCTCTGGGCTGATGGCTCAGAGCCTGGAGCCTGTTTCCGATTCTGTGTCTCCCTCCCTCTCTGCCCCTCCCCCATTCATGTTCTGTCTCTCTCTGTCCCAAAAATAAATAAACGTTGAAAAAAAATAAAAAATAAAAGAACACGCCATTGTGGGCTAATTATTACAATAGCTTGTAGACTCTAAAGGCCAGGAGAATTTCCACGAGTGGCCTCCCTTTGGTTACGCGGCATCCCCGTTCCAATTTCAGCTAAGTTGTGTTTTCCAGTAAAGTTAATGGATGTGGACTAGGCTTCTATACCTTGCTAACAGGGCTCTCAAGGGACCAAGCTACAGAAACATTTATCTTTTCTGATCACAAAAGTAATGGCATATCTATATAGATATATATACACACATACATAAGTAACTTGAAACATTCTAATAATGCATAGCTTTGAAAGTGAAAATCTTCCATAATCCCACACAGCTGAGAAAACCCGTTAACATTTTTTTTGAAGGCATATATTAAAATTTCATTTATCATTTTACCAAAAAATGGGATTATACTTCAACTTTGAAGCATGCTATTTTCCACCTAGCACTATGTCTTAGACATCCTTCCCTGCCACTCTGTAAAAAAGTGATCTTTTTAATCTTCTTTTTTGATGGCTCCGTGGTTTTGTACTCTATGGCCAGACCATGCAATCCTTAACCAATTGCCTGTTAACGACATTTCGGTTCTTTCCAGTTTTCCCTGTAACAAATATTCTTGCAAACATCATTTTACACTTACATCTTTGAGCGGTTGTAGGGGTGTTTCTCTATGATGAATTCCCAGAAGGTGAATTATTACGGGGTCAAAGGTTATGAGCATTTCATTTTTAATAGCTATTGCCAAATTGCCCTCCAATAATTTTATACCGATTTACGCCTTCAACCACGCTGTAAGAAGGAGCCTGTTCCCCTCCCCACCCCCACCCCCCGCCCTTAGCAACACAAAAACCATGCAATTTAGGGATGTCTGATGTGAGTTAGGAGTTAAGAGGTTCAGTCTGGGGAGTGTTTTGCCTTTGTGAAAAGCTAACAAAGACATCAAAAGTCTCCCCCTTTCCTTGATGAACCCCCGGCTCTGAGTGAGCCAGTACCCAGACATCTAGTTAACATGAGAGGTTCAAATTCTAACACCTAATGCTTGCATCTAGCTGATTTTTGGGGGGGATGATTTGTCGCTGAATGTATAAGCAAATGTGCCAGCTATAAAATACTTAGTAACCTAATTATTAGAGAAATATAAATCGGTCTTGACTTTCACACTGCTGTCTTAATGTGAACGACACATTTAATGTTAGAGCATCAGTATGTTTCCATCTGCAAAATGCCTTGATTTCACCTTTTCGTTGATTGGTGCGCAGTAATTTGGAAAAACCTATTCTTTAAAGACATGCAAAAAGTGGCTTTGAGTCAGCCTATTAAAGAGGAGCAAGGTTTGCCAACATCCAGTCTTCAGGAATTCATTTTGAGGCTTACTACAGTTTACATCTCCAGAATTAGGATCGCTGGGCGTTAGATGGGAAAAAACTTTAGGGGTTATCTAGTCAAAAGACTGAAACTCTATTCCACAAAGCCTTGGGGCTGCTTCAGGGAGACAGAAGACGTTGGTGGAAGAGGAAGTCAGTCCGCCATCAAAGGTTCATGGTATTGCAATCCTAATTCCACCACAAGAGCGCTGCTCTGATCTGCTTCCTATGGTGGGTAATATATTATGTTATATGGAGCAAGTTGATCTCTTATTTTTCTCTCCTGTTAAGACAGGCATGATGACAGGGCTTATTGAAGAGTAGTGGAGTTTTGGGGCTCAGTTGGTTAAGCGTCCACCTTTGACTCAAGTCACAATCTCCTGGTTTGTGAGTTCCAGCCCCGTGTGGGGCTCTGTGCTGAGCTCAGGGCCTGGAGCCTGCTTCAGAGTCTGTATCTCCCTCTGTCTCTGCTCCTCCCCTGCTCTCATGCTCTGTCTCCCTCTTTCTCTCTCTCTCTCTCAAAAAAAAAAAAATAATAATTAATTAATTAATTAAAAAAAGAAGAGTCGAGAAGGTTTGTTTGTTTTTTCTTTCTTTTTAAGTAGGCCTCAGGCCCCATGTGGAGCCTGACATGGGGCTGAACTGAAGGCCCTGAGATCAAGACCTGAGCTGAGATCCAGAGCTGGATGTTTAACCGACTGAGCCACCCAGGTGCCCCAAGAGTAGTGACGGTTAAATTAAGTAATACTATACACTTACAGTGCTTAGCTTTGTGCCCTAAACATGCCAAGGAACCAAAAAGTGCTTGCTAATTTATTATTTAAGGTTGTCCTTTGAAAAGGGATTTTGTTGCTTAAAGATACATTTCAAAACCACCCATTTACTTTTTACATCTATAAAACAAGGTGATTATTCCGGATGGAGTGGCTTTAGATTTTATTTATTTCCCGCTTTCCAATCCAGTGATCTTACTCGCAGATTCCAGTGCACTTTGATGGAGAATGCTGGGGGGCTCTGAGCGGAACTGGCCTCCCACACACCAGGTGGCGCCACCTGCCATCCAGCTGGCCAAGACCACGGCTTGTCTATCTGCCTTGCTCTTGATTTAGGAAAGAAACATGACCTTGGGAAGAAAAGTGTCCCTTGCCCTGTGGGAGAAGTTGCCCACGGGTTCACCCCGAGAACTAAACATGAAAGTTGGAAAATACTAGAAACATTACCTAGGTGCTATCTCTTCTGTGATTATGAGGACAACTGAAAGGAGTTCAGAAGTGGACACTTCAGCCTTCTACAACGAGCTGAATTTTCTAGTCTTGGCCAGACACTTTCAAAAGGAAGAATTCACACAACAAACATACACCCTTATCAATCCTTTTCTTAGGAAAGCTTGGCTTGGTGGAGGGGAAGTTTTCAAGTTTGCCTAATGAATCACAGACGTGAGGCAGGAAGGGGAGAGCTTCAAGCATTTTCCTCTTCGAGAGGTCTAACGGGAGACCAAACATCAGGGAGTGAGGAGCAGAACCTTCTAAGCCATGTATCTTTTCTACCCCAGAACTCCTTCCAGTGCCAGTCGCTGCTGCTGCTTGAGAGCCAGACGTGGGCTCGGGGAGGGGCTTCTCTGTGTCAGGGCCATTCAGGGTCTGTGGCAGGCTTAGGAACAAGTAGACGTAAAAGCTGTAGAATTAAGAGTTGAAAACAGCATTTAATGAAACCCCTCCCTCCAGACGCTCGTGATCAAAGTCTATCCTTGCACTAAGACAATTGATCTACAGTTGCATCCATAAAATTTTGGCAACACTCTGTCCTGATTGCTTTCAACAGAGGCTTTAGACCTCTGAGGCTGGGCATTGTCCCAGAATTGAGAGCCAGTTGCATTACGCATACCAGAAGATACACCACCACAGCCGAGGCCCGTGCAACCACTTTCTTTTAACCTCGCGTCTGTGAAAAATTACTTTCCAAAAAAATAAGTGAAACCCGATGTCTTCTCCGGGTGGTTATTCTTGCGCCTATGAAGTCAATAAAACTCTCCAGATTTATTAGACAGCCCTGCTGCGGAAGACAAGACCACTTCCTATTCCCTCCCAGAAATGTGTGCCTTTCCTTTCTGCAACCTTCTGACCAGATTTTAATTTTGTTCATTTCTTGGATTATTTATTTGTTTTTATTTTTCAGAAAACTGGTTCGAACCCTCTAGGACAAGTGGCTTGGCCTGTGCTAAAATCCCGATTTCTGGCCTCCAAGAG